AAAACATCAGCTTCAAACAATGCTGCACATTTTGGCCACTGGTCAATGTCGTTGCATCCCAAGAACGGCCAACTATTCAAAGATGTCTATTTTCCCGTTTCACCTGCTTGCGGAGCTGTTGATTCTCGTACGCTTTCATCCTCTTGGCGTTTTCTTTCTTGCATCGTAAAATGTACTCCAAAATCGCCTCTTTCTCGTAAAGAAAACCGTCCGGTCTGAAAATGGTAATTGTGCCTTTAGGCTGTTAGGCCGTGAATACAATCGATAACTTACGTGACGACCGGTTCTACACAGGGCTGAAGTGTCAGACAGCAGCAGTTGAAACTTTTCACGGACTCCTTTGGAAGGCGCTCCTCCAGAGTGCCATAACCCGAAGCTTTCTGGTCCTTCTTGCGCTCGTAATAAGTGTACACAGTGGAGGCAGTTGCGTTCTTCTGATGTCGTGTCATTACGAAAACAAACACGTCTTTCTGAAAGTGTCAAAAGTCATCAAGTAAGTTCACCGATAACGAAATCGGAAGTAATTCGATTCTAAACAAGAAAGCTTACTTTTAAACTGCATAAGTATATGTACGTAGTCGGTCAAAATCTACCGCACTACGCATGAAATAAACTTCGCCAACGAAGAAGACAAAATGGTAGGATCAGATTCACAGATTAGAGTGCAAAGCGAACCATCTGTTGAGCGCACAACAGAAACACAAACAGGCAGAAAAAGAAAACGACAGAAACATCTAAAATCCAAATCTTATCACTCTTTGGCCGCTAAGAAAGAAGTGATTACATGCCGCAAAGATCGAGCGACAAGTCGTTTTCAGCCAATGTTGCAAAAAGAAGCGAAAAACATCTATGATGTTCTCAAATTATCAAATATCACAAAGCTTAAGCTGTCCACAATTCTGCAAGGCAGCAAAATATGACGGTGAAAACTTTAAACATACTATTGTCAAACGAAATGTATATAAAAAAAACTCACTATAAGTTCGAAAAATCTTACAACTACGGAAATCATATCAGTGGGAGAAAACTTTTTATTACATACACAGCAGATGATCTCAGAAAGTGAAACTACATCTGAGCTGGATTACCATTCATTTAAATTAAGTATTTCATTGGGTTGAAGAGAACTGTCGGTCCAATCGAAACTTGGTCCAATATTCTGATGTCATTTTCCGGCAAGTAAAAATTTTCTGCATCTGAAGTACAAAACAGAACGCAAATGGAAAAACGGTGAACAGAACAAACCGTATGACGCATATACCTCTAACTCCAGAGTTAACCGGTCCGAATCTAAAAATTGGACAACAGATTTTTCGAATATCAGAGTTGCATCCATGCACAAAGAAAATGAAAATAAAACAGCTGCTAATGAAGACGCGCCACCCAGTGTCTCCAACGTTGCGCCTGCATCTGAGCGTCAGCAGGAGGAAACCCGAACTAGGAGCAAAATATTTCGAGAAAACTATCCTTCATTTCTCTTAGATGTCCCCAGGGTCTTCAGTATATCGGTTGAGCAGTAAACATTATTTCAAAAAGATTAACACCTTAAACCATGATAAAAACGTTATTAACCAAAGGTAAATGCATAAAATCTGCGCCAATTTCCACGGGTATTCCAATTTGCAGTTAAGCAGTGAATCTCAACACTCGTAAAGAAATGACGCACAAGTAGATTCAATATAGAAAGTGACTAAACCGCGAACAGGCGTGGAGAAGTAAAAACAGCAACTTATACTGAAACTGATAGAAATTTTCGACCAGAGGCAAAACCTGGGTAATATCGAAAATGAAATCGAGTCAAGGTTTAACGTTCAATCCGCTTAAAAGAGGACTTTAAAGCAAAACATTCACTTAAAACTAGTCTAAAAAGAGTTCATAAACTATCATATACGGTACCGATCTCCAGCATACCCAGTGGCCGCCTCCGTCAATGAAAGACCGCTCCTTACCTTCGTACAAAGAAACGCACTTAAAAATTTCAACAACAGTTGTATAATCAAACTACTTTGTCATTACTGTAGTGCGCAAGTACAAATAAGCGCAACGCAACTAGCCGAACTTCCAATTTTACTCATTTCGCAAAAGGACCGCCACTGGTTTAATCTGCCATTCGTGCTAGTTGTACCAGCAACCGGGGCTATATTCTATCCTATTCTGCCAAAATCGTAAAATAAATGCGTTCCTTAGCACAACTAATAAACGAATACCGCCATCATCTTTTGTCGATCCACTGCTGGATGAAGACTTCTCAAAGACTTTGCCACACGAACTTTTTTCTTGCTATCTGCATTCGTCTTGGTTCATTGAACCTCTTTAACTCATAATGAATCGATCTGCGGATCTTCCTACGGGCAGTTTATTCTCTCCTTGAAAACAGTCTAGTGTTTCCCTGGAACTATTGTCTTCCTGAAACATGCCTTGGCAATTACCATTAATTTTTCCACTCAGGAAATGACATTGTATGCTTATATTTGTGCCTCAACCTATTCATCTGTTTTCATATGTTTGTATTTCCAACATGTTTTTGTATTCAGCACTGCGTATTCTTCAGTTGAATATTGGCAATCAGTAGAAGATTCAGCGTTTCGTATGCTGAGATCAGTGTGTGAAACGCACATTGATTGAAATCTTTCATTTTAAACACAAGACAGCATCTAGAACAGAAGCAGTTTCAATTCTCCAAATATACTCCATGTCATTTTTATTTTTGTGCTGATTTCACATTGTCCATTCGACGTTGCAGAAATGACACGTTAGACGTCGTTTTGCATATTGTCTAATTGACTGTCTAATCTAAGCCCTTTAGCATCAATAAATCGCCATGTCAGTACTTTTTCCATAAGACCTGAGACTTCTTCAGGTTAACATTTGTCCAACCTTCACGCTTCCGTCGCTGAGTTCATTCTTCTTTCTTTCACTTCTGATGCATACAAGATGATCCGAATGTTAGCGGCTAACCGCGGGTGGCTAGACAATGCTCACTTAAGTTCAACTTTATATTATTTCAATGCATTGACTTGAAATCTTCCTCTGCCATTGCCGCGAATAAATGCGGTGACATTGCTTCCCCTTTCTGATTATCGACTTATTTCTGCCTTCGTGAAGCCTCGTACTAACGGTTGCCAGTCAGTCAGTGAGGTTCTATGACCGATTATTTCTTCCGATCGCAGAAACTGAAGCGTCAGACAGTGTGTATAAAGTTCTCGATCTTGTACCAGCGTTTTAATATGGGCAGATGACCTATCGAGTCTCTAGTAGAGTACTTCGAAAAGTGTGTTTCAAGTTTTTCTTGGTTTTCCATGCGGCTTTCTGGAGATCGACTGGGATGGGCAGCTGCAATTTTTAGTTGTTTTGTGTATCTATGTTTGGAGATATTCACAAGCCGTGTTAAAGCAATCGCAGCTGAGACTTCTTAATCTAGAAAAGCAGCCGCAGTAAGTCGATGCTCTTTTGAATATCTGACAATCGAGCCGTGTCGAAACGAGAGAGTTCATCGACTCTTTTCAGAAAGCCAGTTTTAGGTACACCTGTCTGATATAAAAGATTTTATTTATGGTACAAAATTCGAGGCTATAAGTAAGATTTGGGTTAGAGATTGAATTTAACACGGAGCACTAATTCTTTGGTCTCATGTTTGTATTAAAAATAGCTGTTTGGGCTACTTCAAGCAAAACGCCAGTGTCCATTCCAATTCGCTAGTCAATCTTTTCTTCAGTTCCGCTGCACAATTTACGCAGACTCGCGATACGCGAATTTATCCACGTGCTCAACTGCGTATCTGCATCGAACAGCGGGTGAGAAAACAGGGAATAACAGGATATTGAGCTTTAGGCACGTTCACGCGCATGTCGGCAATGTTGAACTTGGCTGTTCAGAGGGCTGCAGAGATTTCCGTTTCCTTTGAGAGTGATCATCAAGCAATCAGTGTTCATCTCCATCGAGAGACCGTTGACTTTCATCCAATATTGAAATTCACTTTTCCAGACGTTGACAACGATTTGAAAAACTTTAAAACGCTTTAGCCTACCTTAGTAAATTGTTTTCTCTTCGAAAGAATTTCGATGAGAATAACTTACTATTCACGGCGGGAAAGTCAGTCCATTTATTTTTAATTTAAAACTTTATTAAGTTCTCTATTAAAACAAGTGTTCGCGAGC